TTGATTATTGTGTGTTTCAGTAAGATCTCTTCATATTTAATATATTTGTGGTTATTTGATCTTCAAGGATCTGGATGTTCTTTTTCCAGATATAGAAAGTTTTCTGCTATTATTTCTTTAAGTAAACTCCTCTCATCTCCTTCGCTTTTTTTGCTCCTTCTGGGACTTTCATAATGAGTAAATTTCTTTACTTGATGGTATCTCATAAATTCCATAGTTTCTCTTAATTCCTTTTCTTTCTTCTTCTTTTTGTTTCTCTGAGTGGGCAATTTCAAATGACTTGTCTTTGAGCTCATGATCTAGTTTGCTTCAAGATTGCTGTGGAATTATTCAATTCAGTCATTGTGTTGTTTAGATTAAGAATTTTTGTTTTGTTCTTTTTGATGGTTTCTATCTCTGTTGAATTTCCAATTTTGTTCATGCAACAATTTTCTGATTTTGGTGTCTGTACGGAAGCTTGTCTTTCCCCCAGTTTTGCTTTGTATGGTTTCAGCTTCCTGTAGTCAACTGCAATATAAAAATAGTAAATGAAAAATTTCATTAATAAACAATTCATAAGATTTAAATTGCATGCCATTCTGAGTAGAGTAATGAAATCTTCAGTGGTCTCACTTCATCCCTCCTGACACATGAATCATCCCTTTATTCAGTATATCCATGCCATACACACAACCCACCCATTAGTTGCTTAGCGGTCATGTCAGTTATCAGGTTCACTGTCTCAGTAACCTGATAGTGCTTTTGTTCAAGTAACCCTCATTTTACTAAATAATGGCTTCAAAGTGCAGAGTAGTGATGTTGACAGTTTGGCAATGCCAAAGAGAAGGATAAAGTGTTTCTTCTAAGTGAAAATGTGAAAGTCTCAACTTAATAAGGAAAGAAAAAAAACGTACACTGAGATTTTTAATTTCTGTGATATGAACAAATTTACTCTCTGTGAAATTCTGAAGGGAAAAATTGTGCATGGTATCTATAGGGTTTGATACCATCCTCGGTTTCAGGCATCTGCTGGGGATTGTGCAGTGTATCCTGCATGAGTAAAATGGGACTACTGTATTCTCTTGTAGCTCAGTGAACTTATTTAAGATGATTGTTTTGTATTCTTTATTAGGCAGTTTAAAGATCTCCATTTCTTTGGGATTGCTTGCTGGTGCTTTATTTTATTCTCTTAGTGATACCATGTTTCCCTGATCATTTATGATCCTTATGGCCTTAGTTTCCGTGCATTTGAAGAAGCAGATGCTTCTTCCAGACTTTACAGACTGGCTTTGGCAGGGGATTCCCTTTACTTAATGAGTCTATGCGGAGATTTTTGGTAGGCTCTCTGGCAGGGTTCATTAATGAGCTTTGCTGCTGGTGTCTTTTTGGGAGCTGGCCTTGTGACTGGGCCAGCAGGTGGGCTGAGCTGGTATCTGGGTCCCAGAGGCTAGCCTGTTGTCTGGGTTTATGAGTTTGAGCCTGGAGCCTGTATTCACTGGGGCAGACACTGACTTTGGGTCTTCTGTGGGGGGACCTGGATCCTGGCTCCTCTGGGGCTGGCCTGGCACCAGGGTCTACTGGTGTGGGCCAAGTTGATTGGGTCTGCAGGTGTGTCCCTAGTGCCTGGGTTCTTAGGGCTAGGTTTGGAGCTTATGCCCATAGGAGCTGGCCTGGCACTGTGGTGAGACTAGAGCCTAAGTCTGTTGGGGTCTGCCTGGTACTGGGATGGGCCTGTACCTGGGCCCATTGGGGAAGGCCTGGAGCCTGTGCTTACAGGGGCCAGTCTAGTACTGAGATGCACCTGGAACCTGAGTTCCTGGAGGTAGGCCTGGTGCCTGCATCCGTGGGGCTGGCCTGTATACTGGGTTCATAGAGGATGGTCATGGCGTCTGGGTATGTACAATTAGCATTTAATGTAACATATTTCCCCTAACTTACTGGCTTAAAACAACATTTCATTTGGCAGTTTCAGTGGGTTGAGAGACAGGTGTGGCTTTGCTGGGTCCTTTGGCTCTGGGTCACTTGCAGGCTGCATTCTTCTCAAGGCTTGACTGGAATGACAAGTCATTGTCAGGATTCAGTTCCCTGTAGGTTACTGGACTTGAGACTTCAGTTTGTCACGACCTGTTAAAAGTCTTCTTTTGTTTCTTTGACATGTGGCTTCTCCGTAGAACATCTCATAACGTGGCAGCCTGCTTTATTAGAACAAACAGACAAAAAGATGACTGGCAAGAGAGAAGATGCTAGCAAATTGGAAGTCAGTTTTTTGCAGCCTAATAATAGAAGTGACACCCCATCACTTCTGAGGTGTTCTCTTTATTAGAGGGCTAGCCTACACTCAAGGGCAGAGGATTACACAGGTGCATGAACACCAAGAAGCATGGATCATGGGGACCTATGTCAGAAGTTGTGTAAGAGAAACGTTAATATCAAAATTAAGAATAAAACTACCAAATGATCCAGCAGTCTCACTTCTGGATACATATCCAAAGGAAATCAGTGTCTTGAAGAGACATCTGCATACCCCATATTCATTGCAGCATTATTCACAATAGTCAAGATATGGAAACAATATAAGTATCTGTTGACCAAAGAACAGATAAAGAAATACACATACACACATATATACATCCAATGGAGTATGGTTCAATTTTTAAAAAGAAGGAAATTCTTTCATTTGCAACAATGAATGGATGAACCTGAAGGACATTATTCTAAATGAAGTAAGGCAGATACAAAAATAAAATACTGCATTATTTCACTTAAATGTGGACTCTAAAAAGTCTAGTTCGTAGAAGCAGAGAATGGAATGGTGGTTGCTAGGGAAAGGGCAGAGTTGGGAGGGATCAGGAAAATGGGGATATATAGTACGAAGTTTTCCTTATGTAGGATGAATAAGTTCTAGAGAGCTAATGTGCAGAATGGTAACTATAGTATTGGCAAAAATAATGTTAGCTAAGTAAAGTGATAGATATGTTAATTAGCTTGACTATAGTTATTTCACAATGTATATGTATATTAATACATGAAATTATGTTTCAATAAAACTTTTACTTGGAAGGAATCAAAGGCCGGGCGTGGTGCTACGCCTGTAATCCCAGCTCTTTGGGAGGCCAAGGCCGGTGGATCACTTGAGGTCAGGAATTCAAGACCATCCTGGCCAATGTGGGGAAACAACATGTCTCCTAAAAATACAAATATTAGCCAGGCATGTTGGCAGGTGCCTGTAATCCCAGGTACTAGGGAGACTGAGGCAGGAGAATTGCTTGAATTCGGGAAGCGGAGATTGCAGTGAGCTGAGATCACGCCACTGCACTCCAGCCTGGGTGACAGAGTGAGACTGTCTCAAAAAAAAAAAATAATAATAATTGAGAAACAATCTTCCAAATATAGTTACTCTGTATCATCACATGTATTAGCTATGGTAGCAAAGTTGCTGATGTCTAAATACTTTTGGATATTGATTTCAGTATGTGGTTACTTGGACTGCTTTAATTTTGATAGGATTCTATAAGAACAGCCTTCTTTTCTGAAATATAGAAGTCATTTAACTCTTTGAATTTAATCAGAGAAATTTTAACTACTCATCTGTTGTCAGTCTTCAATAGATAGCAAGCTATTTGAAGGCAGAGGCTGGGGATACAGTGTAAATCTGAATTCCCCAGAACTTAACTACTAATAGCCTACTGTTGACAGGAAGCATTGACAATAACATAGTCAATTAACATATATTTTGTATATGTATTGTATATTGTATTCTTACAATAAAGTAAACTAAAGGAAAGGGTTATTAAGAAAATTATAAGGAAGATAAAATATATTTGTCATTCATTAGGTAGAAGTTGATCATCGTAAAGTTATTCTGCCTTCAAGTTGAGCAGGCTGAGGAGGAATTGGTCTTGCTCTCTCAGCAGTGGTAGTGGCAGAAGAAAATCCACTTATAAGTATACCTTTGCAGTTAAAATCCCTGTTGTTCAAGAGTAAACTAAACTTTTGCTCACCTAAGTAAACTTATGTTTATCTATTTATTTTTTAAAAACTTGATTGAGCTATAATGCACCATAAAATTAATGCTTTAAGTGTACAATTTAATAACTTTTTTCTTTCATACGTTTACTGAGTTATCCAGCCACCTCCCTAATTCAGTTTAGAACATTTACATGACCCCAATAAGGTTCCTTGTCAGGACTTTTCTTGATTCTTTCTCGTATAAATAATTGGTGACAAAAGATTTCTTATAACAGAGCTATGTTTATTGCTTCTCTTATACGAATACAAATGTCTTCCATGTCCTTCTGTACGAAATATAGACATTGTCAATAGTGTAAATTTTATTTAGTGGGCTGTATAATGAAATATATGAGATGTGTTTGAATTTATGCAACTTTTAGTAAGGAAAATTTTGTGTCAGAGAGAAAAATTCTTTCATGTTTATTTTAGAGAGTCCCAATTAAACATTTTCAGTTTGACTTTAGTTTTTGATCTTTTATAGCTTGTTTTATTTTTAGCAGATCACAGTAGAAAAGATTGACAACCTAATGTAAAGCCCTCTTAATTATTCACTACAAATAAACATCAGTACCTTCATAGGCAGGTCATTCTCATGGATAATAAAAGTAGAAAAGAACTAATTAGATCGAACAATTTATCATTAATTGGCCAACAAATGCAATTTTTAGCATAATTGGTATTTTCATTCTAACTCACCAGAGGGCACTCTTTTCTAGTGTATTGCTTTTAACTCTGATCTACTGAATATTATCTCATACCTCAAAAAATTTGAGCCAGTTATTGGGATCCAGATGTAGATCATTTGGAGATCAATGATGACTTTCTTTTCTAACTTTCAATAAGTTTTTTGGCCAGCTATTTCATTTTAGTGTCATTAGACAGGGCTTTGCAAACAAAACAGTCTTAAATGCTTTAAGCAGTAGTGTATCTGCTATAAAACTATCTTCTCAATTTAGTCTGTTTTGCTTGCTAGCTCTATAATGCTGCTGTTTCTCTGAATTCTTATTAAGGTTTCAGATCGGGTGGAGCGGCGGCTTCAGGAACTAGAGAGAGAGATGCGCACAGAAAGGGAGCTGGTGGAAAGACGCCAGGATCAACTGGGACTCATGTCCCTGCAGCTACAGGAGGTTTGTGAAAAGCACTTTCATGGAATGTAAATCTTGAATTTGGATATTTATTTAGCCATGTTAAAATGGTTATTGCATGTGACAGTGTAATTCAACCCATCTGAGAAGTATTAATGTCACATATTGGTTGTAGTTCAGTGTATAGAATCAGACCTCCCTGGTTGCATTCTTGCTGTCCATGTGATGTTAGTTGGGCAAGTTTCTTAACTTCTCTAGGCGCTAGTTTTGTCTGTGGAAAATGGAAATAATAATACTATTGACCTAATTAGAATAGCGCAAGGATAAATGAATTAATGCCAGTAAAGCTCTTAACATACTGTCTGTCATATGCTCAGAAAATGTTAACTGAAAGTATAATTATTCTGATTAATTTTTCTGGGCATAGACTAGACCAGGGGTCATCAAACGATGGCTCACAGGTCCAATCTGGCCCATCGTCTATTTCTGTAAATAGTTTTATTGGAGCACAACTACTCCTATTCATTTATATATTGTCTGTTGGTGCTTTTGTGACACAGTGGCAGAGTTGAGTAGTTATAGCCCACAAGAATATATGGCCCACAAGGTTTAAAGTATTGGCAGGTTGGCCCTTTACAGAAAAAGTTTGACAACTCCTGAATTAGGTTATTATCAAACCAATTTAAAATGGAGCATAGTTACCCTTTAGGTACTCTTTTTAATGTGAAATTTCAGACATAGATAAAGTTGAAAATTTAGAATAAAGAATTTCTATATAACCTTTACCTAGATTCCCTTATTATTCATATTTTACCAGGCTTGTTTCATCATTTATTCTAGATACATCCACATATATGTAATTTTTTTGTGAAACATTTTTAATCTGCAGACATGATATACATACTTATCTGTGAATCTTAAAGTCAACTGATTAAAAAATAAATCGTTTTTCATGTAAATAATTTGATATGTATGTTTTCTTTTATAGTTACAGTGTAACAATCAAAATTAGGAAATTGAAATCAATAAAATACTATGGCTTAATCTATACATTTTATTCAAATTTTGCTACTACAGTAGTGTCCTTTCCTGATCCAGGATAAAATATAAGTTCACACATAGCATTTAGTTGTCATATCTCTTTAGTTTCCTTTAATCTGGAAAGGTTTTTCAGTCATCATGAGTGATGACTTCTCAGGGTGTGAACAATTTATTTTCTAGAATGGCTTTCATTTTGGGTTTCTTGATGTTTGTTCATGACTAGATTCAGGTGATGAACTTTTGGCTTGAAACTTAGATAATTGGAGTTATGTCCTTCCCATAGTGTCATATCAGGAGTCATAGAATGTTGGTTGGTTACATTACTGGTGAAAACTGAACACTTGGTTATCGTGTTGCCTACCGGGTGGGTTTATCCACTGTAAAGTTACAATTGTTCTCTTAAAACTATCTATTTTATAGGATAACTCTTTGGGACTTCAGCATATCCTGTTTCTATTGTACTTTTGCTCACTAATTTTAGCATCTATTATTGACTCATCTGAAACAATTACTACTATAAGTAGTGCCAGATAGTGATTTAATATGATTTGTTCTACATTTATAGAATCCTACTGTAAGAAAGAACTTTTTATTATGTGCACTCATAGATTCTTATTTTATTATATTGGTTATATTTTGTGACTATCATTTATAATATTAATTTGTTGAAATTCCCTTTAAATGTGTCTTTGGTCTATACATGAAATATAAAAAGTAGAAACAACAAGAAACCCGAAAGATTCAAAATAAATGGAAATTCTTTTCATTTATGAAATGATTTTTCTAAGAGTTTTAAAAATACACTTGTGTGTGCTTGTAGATCGTTAACCTTTATTAATCGACAGATTTTTTTAAAAGGTTTTTTTCACTGTTAATTGAAAATTAGGAACAAAAATTGCAACACTGAAATTTAATGTAAGCTGATAGAAAAATCTGCTTTTGTTTTCTGAAATTCCATTTCCTTCCATTTCACAAAAGAAGGCATACCCTTGTAAGTTGGTAATTACTTTGAAGAGGATATGTTGTTGAATAATTAGATACAGCATGTGGGTAGGCTTTTTTTTTTTTTAACCTTGATTTTTATACATTTGTTCTCAAAGCAAATTACATCTGGTGAGCATAAGAATAGTACTAAAGAGACAATTGTTCTTTTCTGCAAGAGAAAATTAGAGAAATTTTCTGTACTTATTTTCTTCTCTCTTTGCAGAATGCACAAAATTACAAAGAAAGAGGGAGCGAAAGATTGCTTCCCACCCCTTTTCTTAAGACACCAGAGCCTGGGTATTTGCATTGTAATTGTCAATTTGACTAAAAGCTTCAGCTGTGATTTGGAATTCCATCTCTGACAATACAATAGGAGATCACTATTGATGAGAACTGTTTAATGTCATATTTTGTCATTTTAATATAAGCAGTGACCTATACATTTTTACAAAGTGGTTTTAGATTATAAACAGAGTAGTGGAAACTAGGAAGGATTAAGCTGATGTATTTTCCTGCTCCCATGTTAAATGGCTTAGACTGTTCTGGAAAGGTCATGTTTAAGGAGAGGAAACACTTTCCCTTCTTTTTGATTATTAAAAATACTTATGGAAATTCCTATACCATATGATAATAGTAATCGATGCATTTTTTTTTCCTGTTTATGGTGAGAAATTAAATCCATAGGTGAGCAGGTGGGCCTGAACTTTTAGCCACTCTGCTCTTTTGCCTTCTTAAAATGTATCTTCCAATGTTAATGAAAAATATGACATTTAAAACTTAAGACATTAAGAGTTTTCATTTGAAATTACAGGATGCAGAGATTTGAAGATATAGTATATTACAGGGAGGTGGTCTGTGGTTTTGGCAAAAACCTGCTGCTTTTTAGTTATCTCATGGGTCCTTAGGTCCTCAGAGATTTACCTCTTCCCATTTAATGAAAAAGCACATTGTTAATCATTGGAAATTGGTCAAGGGAAAGCCATTTTCCTTTTCTTTAGAGTTTTTAAAGAATTGTTCACTCATTTCTGTTTCTTATCCTGATTTGAACAAAAGGGCCACGAACACCCAGGGATCCACTTCCTTTTTTGAGCCTCAACTACTCATGTGCTATTGAAGTCACATGAATGCCGGGTTTTCTTTCTTTAGTAAGGACCTTCATATCTTGTATTTTAAACAACCTGGTTTGGTATCTCATAGAAGTCTCTTCTTTAAGAGAGATGAGTATTTTATGTGAGATGTGTGACAATAATATTCTATTTTTTTTTTTTTGAGACGGAGTCTCGCTCTGTCACCCAGGCTGGAGTGCATTGGCCCAATCTCGGCTCAATGCAAGCTCCGCCTCCCAGGTTCTCACCATTCTCCTGCCTCAGCCTCCCGAGTAGCTGGGACTACAGGCACCCGCCACCTCGCCCGGCTATATTTTTGTATCTTTTAGTAGAGACGGGGTTTCACCGTGTTAGCCAGGATGGTCTCGATCTCCTGACCTTGTGATCCACCCATCTTGGCCTCCCAAAGTGCTGGGATTACAGGCTTGAGTCACCGCGCCCGGCCCATATTCTTTTAATATTATCTTTTTAAAATTGTAGATGATACTTTGAACTTTACTAAATCAATTCAAGTTTTTTTTTTTTTTTTTTTTGAAGCAGGGCCACTGTATTGCCCAGGAGTGCCACGGCATGATCTTGGCTCACTACGGCCTTGAATTCCTGGGTTCAAGAGATTCTGCCACTTCAGCCTCCCTTGTAGCTGGGACTACAGGCAGGTGCCACCATGACAAGCTGATTTTTTTTTTGTTGTATTTTGGGTAGAGACGGAGTTTTACCATATTGCCCAGGCTGGTCTCAAACTCCTGACCTCAAGTGATTTGCCTGCCTTGGCCTCTCAAAGTGCTGGGATTACAGGAGGGAGCCACCATGCCTGACCTAAATTCAAGTGTTGTTAAGCCTATACCCGTCAGCCTTTTCTATGTACACAGTCAAGTATGTAACATTGAGGTAAATTATCTCACTATAAACTCTTTTGATGAGGTGCTTGATAGTATCCTAGCTTTGATTGGTTAGTTTAGTGGAGTAGGGGTAGGCTTGGTGGGTGCTAGTGTTGAGAAAGAGGTATTTAGACTGTAAACACAAGCTAAAACCACTTTTTTGCAGGTCCAATATTTACATAAAATCCTAGATAAAAATTTAAACTCCTGATTTGCATCCTGAAAATTCCCGACTCATTTTTTACTGGCTGTTTCATATACATTGAATATTATTTCTTCATCTTGAGTTGAATTACTTAAAATGAAAAACGTGTCTGGGCATGGTGGCTCATGCCTATAATTCCAGCACTTCGGGAGGCCGAGGTGGGCAGATCACTTGAGGCCAGGAGTTTGAGACCAGCCTGTCCAACATGGTGAAATCCCGTCTCTACTAAAAATACAAAAAAAAAAAAAAAAAAAAAAAAAAAAATTAGTGTGGTGGTGCACACCTGTAATCCCAGCCACCCAAGAGTCTGAGGCAAGAGAATCACTTTAACTTGGGAGGCAGAGGTTGTAGGGAGCTGGAATTGTACCACTGCACTCCAGCCTGGGTGACAGAGTGAGACTCTGTCTCAAAAAAAAAAAAAAAAAGAAAAACATGAGATAAATGCTGGACACACACACACACACACACACACGCACACTCTTCAGAGCATTTTTTTTGAGTCAGGGTCACACTCGCCCAGACTGGAGTGCAGTGGTGTGATCATGGCCCACTCAGTCTCAACCTCCCAGGCTCAAGTCATCCTTCTACCTCAGCTTCCCAAGCAGCTGGAACTACAGGGCACACTATTACACCCAGCTAATTTTTGTATTTTTTGTGAAGACAGGTTTCGCCATGTTGCCCAGACTGATCTCAGACTCCTGGACTCAAGTGATCCGCCTGTCTCAGCCTCCCAACCTGCTGGGATTACAGGTGTGAGCCACTATGCCTGGCCCTCTTCCGAGCATTTTATAGCATATTAAGTCACTAGTTTCTTCCTTATCTGCATCA